CCAAGTGGATTACTGCTGTACATGTCTGATTTTATGATTTAGTGAACCAGATAATTCTCTGTTCACGATGGGCTGTTGTTTTTATACTGTCTCTTGGTTTTCCATAGGTGGTCATCTAATCTTTTCCTGGGCCTAGTAACAAGCCAGAAACCACAGACAGTGGTTGCTGGCAAATCCTAAGGGGTCTGAAACTGTTACTCTTTTCTTGCTGCTTATCAGAGAAAGGGTCCTTAACCCATTCCTGTTTGCCATGTCATTTCCAGTACTACTGGGTGAGCTGAGGCATAGGCTCAAAGGTTAGGGCAGCTTTCATTGCTCTAGAACCTTCTCTTGGAATGGGCTTTAGTAAAAACTGTCAGCCTCATAGGTTACCCAGTAAATGGGTCAGAACAGCATATCCAAGTTTTGAAACTCATTGTTTCACCTCTTTCTCAGTGGAAGTGGTGCAAGGTGTAGTAATTTCTCTCACCTGAGATGGGATATCCTGGCTCAGACCAGGGGAATCCTAGAAGCCATCAATATGATGAATCCCTGAACTTTCATGAGTTTTTTCTCCCATTCTCTGGCTTGGGATGTGGGTCCATGTCTTACACAAGTGTCCAGGGTGCTTGCTAGTTCTGGCTCACCAGGTCCAGTTAAGATAATGCTATCCATGTGATGGACCAATGTGGTGATCTGTGGGCTGTCAGGGTGATCAAGGACTCTCCAGACTATATTATGGCAATGCAGACATAGCCCTCAGGTGAGACAGTGAAGGTATACTCTCTTTCTGCTACTTCATGCAATTTGCATCTCATTGTCCTTATAGACGATGATAGAAAAGAAAGCATTTACCAGGTTAGTAGTCATACCAGGTGTCCGGGGTTATGCTAATTTTCTTTAGCAAAACAATACCAAATTTACAAGCTCATTTGTAATTGATATCACCATCTGATTAAATTTATAGTAATCTATTGTCGTGTTCCAAGTTCTTTCCAGCTTTGACCTAGGTAAATGGGCAAGTTAAATGGGGATATAAGAAGATTCAACACCCCTGCATCCTTTAAGTTTTTGCTAGTGGTACTGATTTCTGAGCTTCTTCCATGGATGTGGTATAGCTTTTGGTTACTTTCTTAGTAGGAAAAGGGGAGTCAGTTCCAGAGGCTTCTTCATGGCCTTTTCTCCCATTAGAGCTTTAATGACATGGGACAGGGAACCAATATGGGAATTTGGCCAGTTACTAAGTATATCTATTGCCACTACAATTCTATTACTAGGGAAATAAGCACAGGATTGGCCTATGGTCCCATTGGACCCACTGTGATTCAGACTTATTCTTTAACTTTACCCCTGAAAGTCCCACTCTGACTTGTAAACCATGTTTTGGGTCTCTAGGAGATTAGTGTTATTTCAGAGCTAGTATCCAGTAACCCTTGGGAAGATTGTATGTTTCCCTTTCTGTAGTAGACAGTCATCCTGGGGAATTGCTGCAGGCCCCTTTCAGGAAAGGCCTGGGGAAAGATCCACAGTATATGCCTTTGGCCGTTTGAAGGGTCACAATAGACTGGGCATAGTGGCTTATGCCTACAATCCCAGCACTTTGGGAGGTCAAGGTGGGCACTTTGCTTGAACTCAGGAGTTCTAGACCACCCTGGCCAACATGGTAGAAACCCCATCTCTGCCAAAAATACGAAAATTAGCCAGGTATGATGGTGCATGCCTGTGGTCCCACCTACTTGGGAGGCTGAGGTGAAAGGATTGCTTGAACCCCGGAGGTAGAGGTTGCAGTGAGCCCAGATTGCACCACTGCACTCCAGCTTAGGTGGCAGAGTGAGACCCCCATCTCAAAAAAAAAAAGAGGTCACAATAATCTTATGTTTAGTCCCCCTTGATCTAAGATCCTTTGAATATATTCCTATATGTGCTCTTCACACTCCCACTGGTAAGTAAATTGTTGAGATCCTAAAATATTTTGGTATAAAGGCAGCCTTCTCCCAGAGTAGACTTGGAACTTCTTTCTGGGCTCTTTTGGGTTATGAGACAATGAAAGATGGTGGGAGTAGATAGGGAAGACAATTAGCATCATCAAGTTCAAATAAAACTTGAAAGAGTTTTTTTGAAGGGGAGGTATTGGGAAGCAGGGTCTCCTCTGAGAGGTATAGGCAGCTGTTTTCAGCAAGGAACTTCAGCTGAATTTGGGGTTCAGCATTCTTAGCCTCATCTATGCCTACCCAAATCCCTGTGTCTATGATTCAAGTCATTCTCCTTTCCAGCCAGTGCTGTATGTTAACACGTGAGACTTTGCAGGGTTATATATTGAATTGGCTCTGCAACCCTAGCCATCAAACCCTGGGCTTTATCCTTAGTCTTCTCAGCTCAGCAACTGTAAGAGATGAAGGACTTGAATAAAACAGCCATGGATTTTCTGCTCACCTCTTTGGGAATTCACAGCTTTGACTTTGTCATTTGCTTTATGCACATTCTCAGGGACAGTCAGAAGCAGCCCCAGCCCACATTGCAGTCTCTGAAGTCAGTGTTTTCATCAGCCACTTGGACTTTGAGCACTCTCCACCTGCACTCCATCCTGTGACACCATGCACAGGTGGTAGTTTGAGTGATCATGACATCACTGTGTACAATCCCCTCCCTCCACAGGAAGGTTGTCAGGACACTTGTCAAATACACATTCCATTTTCGAGGCTATGTTTCTTGGGCTCATTCTTGGTACCGGTTAATTGGATCAGTCACATGGCACACTCAAAAGTAGTTGAAGGGAGTTTAACAAAGGGACTGTTAACTAAGATGTTGTGGGCAGGATTACAGGAACCAGCAAGGCATGGTGAAGCATCTCTTTACTAGCAAAGTCAGAAAGCTGTTATTATTCCCAGGCCGTTCAACTGTAGCTGTGGAAGAGGGGCTGCCTGCTAGGAACTATGGGCTTGGGTAGATAAACCACTGATGTCAGAAAGGGACTGAGGGAACAAATAACTTAGCATCTTGCTCCTCTTACCCTCTGATTTGCTAGAGACTCTCATGGCTGAACCCAGCCAGAGGGCAAAAGCAAGGTGTACTGCTTTAGTGTGCAGTCCATACAGGTCAAACTTCTGGACTTGTGGCTGGGTGGAGAAGGAATGGCATTTGGGTCTGGAAGGGCAGCTGGAGACTGTCTAGTAAGTTGCCAAACTAGAACCTTTGGCTCAGGTTCGAGTGTGCTTCTTGAGTGGCTTAACTACCACCTGTACCTGTTCTTAGATGTCCCCTGGGTACCTTAGAGGAAACAAGTTGTCCTGCCTACCATCTCTTTCCTTCTCTTTTATTCCGATGTCACTTAATGTGATATCTTACTGTCCCTTCCAAAAGGAGGACCTGAGGAATTCTGCTTCTGTGGGCTATAGCACAGCAAGATACAAACAGATAAATGCCAGGAGGACCTGCCACCCTGAGCCCCACATTCTCAAGGGAGAGATGTGGAAAGTATAGCTCATAACCTTCACCCTCTCAGTGTCTCTGCTGCAGGAGGAGAAGCATGGGCTAATGTGGCTTCTGAGGTTGCAGGACAGGGCCAGTCGCCTTAGGAGTGCAATGGGTTCTACCTGCTCTTGTGCTTTTGCAGTAGATTACTCTGACAGGCGGGCCAAGTTCTGGTCTGGTGCTGCCCTGGTATTACTGGGACAAAGCAGCTGCTATTATGGGGCTTTAGAATGCTGTAATTTACAGGAAGATGCTGTACTCTTTGTTGAGGAGGGACCAGTTACGTGTCTGTATATTCTAGCAACTAATTCAGCTGCATAGAAATTTTCCTGACTGCATTTCCAGCAGCAAATCCAACAAGGGAAGCTTTGAATCATCTTAAAGCTTAAAGGAAGCATTCTTATAATCAGTTAAAACTCATTATACCTGAATATTCAATACCTACTGATATATATTTTAAATCATTACCTGAACATTATTTATTTATAATATTCAGATCTGTTACAGTGACTCCCTAAAACTAACCACCCAGGAAAATTATCCTAGCAAACTGACACTTTAAAAAGTATTATATAGTCTCAGCGCGGTGGCTAATGCCTGTAATCCTAGCACTTTGGGAGATGAAGGTGGAAGGAATGCTTGAGCCCAGGAGTTCAATACTAGCCTGGGCAACAGTGAGACTCCATCTCTTAAAAAAAAAAAAAAAAGTATTGTTTGAGCCAGGCATGATGGTCTGTGCCTATAGTCACAGCTACTTGGGAGGCTCAAGCAGGAAGATAACTCGAGCTTAGGAGTTTGAGGCTGTAGTGTACCATGATTACACCTGTGAATAGCCACTGCACTCCAGCCTGGGCAACACAGCAACACCCTGTCTCTAAAAGAAAGGTATTATTTGGTGTCAGAGTATGGGATGCTCTCTGTAGCAAAGGTGACATTTTAGCCCTCTGTTCATGAGTGGGATTATATTAATATACTGCATTTATTCTGTATAAAGATCTACTCTAATGCCTCTGACCAGAGGTTTAGTACAAAAGAATCATCCGCAGTTATAATGCAGCATAGTACAGTGGTTAAGAGTTGGAAATCTGGAGTCAGATGGCCTGGGTTCAAATCCTAGATGTACAAATTATTTTACCTCTCTGTGTTTTAGTTGCCTCATTTGTAAAATGAGTAAATAGTTATGTACTATACAGGATTATAATCTGAATTGTCCGGCACACTTGATGGGTTCATCCTAATGCAAGAGGTCTGAAAACCACGCTTTGATTACCTCCATCTAGATCTTTTCTAGGTGAGAGTTAACCCTTAGTCTATATGAACTGAGGTGTATAAGTTCCCGGAATTTTCTAATAGTAAGGAAGGTAGATGGACTGCAGATACTTGTGGCTTGTAATAGGAGCATAACAAACCAAAACTCTAATCTGGGCTGAGACTGATGAGCAAAAGTAAATTCGTTTCAGAATAAACATAAAATTAGTCCCATGCTTAAGAAATGACATAGTATTTTAAAATTGTTTTGCTAATCACTTTTTTTTTTTCTGTTGGTTAAGGTTACATGATGGAATTTGAACATTACTTCAAGAGGTTTTATATTTTGGATTAGCTAATTGGGGTTGTCCTCTGCTGACTGTTTCTTCGGACGCATTTTTTGGTGTGCTTTTGAGGCATTAAATGCAAAGATATCATACCATGGACTACAAGGAAAGCTGCCCAAGTGTAAGCATTCCCAGCTCTGATGAACACAGAGAGAAAAAGAAGAGGTTTACTGTAAGTATGTAACATAAAGCATGTGGGGAAAAAATTGAATATAGAGAATATTTCCATTTCTGCTTTTCTTCTTCAACCTAGAACACCCCTTTCCCCACCTCCACATATCTAGATTTTACTTATTTCACATGATCTGTTCTTCACAAAGTTTTCATGGCTACCGTAATGGAATAAATTTTCCTTTTTTAGTGTCTCTTTACTTATCCTCTTGGAGAATTGTATGAAACTATCTAAATAATCTTCTTAACAGAAAATGTGCATGTGCATACACCTGGATCTGTGCGCACACTTATAGTTTTGCATGCACCGTCAGGGGTTAATGGACTGGTGAAGTCATCGATTCCATATTAAGAACTACTGCCCTGAAATGTTTATACATCTCTCAGTTTAAAAATATTTAATTCAGTATTTTATTTTTTTTCACCTTAAAGGCTAAACCATGTCTAATTTTATCTTTTCTCACTGTAGTATCTACTATAGGGTTTTAGAAAGAGTAAGCACAATGAATATTTGCTCAATCTGTATATCAGTTTCTATTATTGGAGAATAGTCACTTTTCTTAATAGTGTGATGAAACATACAATATTGTATTTCGTTCCAGTAGTCCTATTAGTATATACAGAGGTCTCCTGGCTTCCTCCCCCTGAAAAAAGCCATTTATCGTGTGTATTACTGATCTGCTCTTCCTTGTAACTCCCTATGCTTCTCACCTACTGAATAATATGAAGAAATTCATTTAGCCCAATTCTGTTTAATACGTAGTCTAATCTAATAATTTAACCAGGTCTCAGGATAAAATGCTTAGCCTTTCTTACTTCTAATTTCTCTCTGACATGAACACACATCCTCCTCAGATTGGCGTCATGGTTTATGGGAGGAGAGGTGTCCCCTTTCACAGTAATTTTTTTTTTTTTTTTTTTTTTGAGATGGGGTCTTGCTTTGTCACCCAGGCTAGAGTACTGTGGTGCAATCTTGGCTCACTGCAACCTCCACCTCCCGGGGTCAAGCGATTCTCCTGCGTCAGCCTCCTGAATAGCTGGGACTACAGGGTGCACACCACCATGCCTAGATAATTTTTGTATTTTTAGTAGAGGTGGGGTTTTACCATGTTGGCCAGGATGGTCTCAAACTTCTGACCTCGTGATCTATTCACCTCAGCCTCCCAGGGTGCTGGGATTACAGGCGTGAGCCACTGCACCAGGCCCACAGTATTTTTGAGTTAATAAATGACCTCATGGTAGCCTGGTGAAGGCTCTTGAGTTCTTGCTATCCCTCTAGGTCTTTGCTATTTGAGCTGTAAAGTGGCTGGTCTGGCAAATAGCCAGCTATGACTCACTTGATAACTTGGGCATTTTGCTGGTATCCATTGCTGGCACCTGCAGTTTATGAACTAACTTGTGATCTCTTTGTTGGCTTGGCCAGGGTTTTGTGGCAACTCACCACTGACTCAAAGGCTCTGACATGTCCTTCACCTGCTCCTGGCTCAGTGGCCCACCCTAGCCTCTAAAAAGGGGGTCACCTGGTCACTGCCAGTTGAGTCTCATGAAAGGTGACTTTCAACTCAGAGTCCCTGTCACAGGGCAGTTAAGGAAAGCTGAGGAGTTAAACTAAATCCTTTGACTACTTCTCTCTGCCTTCTTAAGTAGGTGGGGCTGGGTATAGGAAAATGATGGTTTTTTCTCAAGGTCCCAGACGAGCAGCGGGGAAGCAGCCCCTCTGTCCTCTCTTCCTTAACAGACACACCTGCCAATTTCTCTGTACCACATCCCAGAGCAGAGAAATTGCAATGTGTGTCTGGCCACTTATCCCTTTGCAGCCTCTACGTTGCAGGTTTATCTTAAACAGTAGGCATTTGTTGCACATTTGCATAAGCAAATTTTTAGCAATCATATTGAAGGTAAACAAAGGTTGTTATACCTTGAATAAAATGGTGGAGTGTGTGAAAGCTTTTCTTCCTCCCTTTCCTCTTTTTATTTTTGTCTTTGGACCATTCTTTCCTTGAGGGATGCCTCCTTCCAAATTTGATGGAAGTTCACACACAGCAAATGTCAGTGGCAGATTATCTCATGTGTCTGTTGATTTTTCAGGCTGGAGGTATTTCCATGTCTTCTGTGGGATGGTCGAGGAGATCTGTAGCATATCTGTTACCCAGCTGTTCCTACACTGTGCACTGAGTTCTCAAAGGCCCAATCTAAATCACCTTATTCATTTACTTCCTTCAGATTCTCAAATAATTGCCTTATTAGAGAGGTATTTTCTGACCATCCTGTAAAAAATAGCACCTTCACATCCCACCCTACCCATCTCACTCTCTGTCCTGCTTTCCCTCCTGCCACATTTTGTGTGTGTTTGTATGTGCCTTCTTTGAGTAGAATGCAAGGTCCTTTGAAGCAAGAACTTCCTTCACTGTTGTTTCACCAGAACCCTAAAACAAAGATAGTGGGAATTCAAATAAGTATTGAATTGTTCATCTGTTATTTGCTGGTCACTATAGTGCAGTCCTCAGTCCTCAAGAAACTTGGTTCTCTCAGTGCACATAGACCCTATCCCACCCAGCACAGACGCTCTGTTCAGCCTAGGTACCCATGTTATCAATACTATTTTTAAATTTAAATTTAATAGAGACAAGTTCTTGCTGTGTTGTGTAGGCTGGTCTCCTGGGCTCAAGTGATACTACTCCTGCCTCAGCCTCCCAAAGTGCTGGGATTACAGGAATGAGCCACTGAGCCCAGCCAAGAATACCATTTGACAAGATTCAGTAAGTGCTTTAATTGGTATGTTTATGTATCTTGGAGAATCATATAAAAATGTTGATGTTAATATCAGTTTCAGAATATGAAAACACCATCCTTGGCAAAAGAGCCAGACTCTGTCTTAAAAAAAAAAGAGAAAATGAAAACAGGTTTCATGTATTTAAGTAGCTAATGGATTTTTTTGCAATTAAATTTTGTTACATTATGTTATATTTTTATTTCCACAGGTTTATAAAGTTCTAGTTTCAGTGGGAAGGAGTGAATGGTTTGTCTTCAGGAGATATGCAGAGTTTGATAAACTTTACAACACTGTAAGTAATAGTCTACAAGATTTCTAATAAAAAGAAAGCACCCGAGGAAAATCCCAAAATAAAAGAAATATATTTGAATGATTAATTTGATACTCATATATCAATATGTCAGACAAGCAGACAAGGAGGGTAAGAGATTCTTCAAAAACACCCTAACTTTGGAATGCTTACAAAGAAAGGGTGGAGAGAGGACTGCTGAACAATTCCAAATAAACCATTGAAAATATGAGAACTAGATAAAATACCTTTTAATGTCATAGAAAATTAGAAATCAGATCTTTCTACTTACTTCTCTGATAATTGTTAATCGTCATGGTATTTCTGGTTTAATTGCCCAACTGTAAGCTTTATGTTTGAAAGTCTATCATGAGCCTATCTCCCTTCCATAGTTTCCATTTTATCTTAGAGATAAGTCTTAGGTTCCAGATTTTTAGTAGCCAACACAACTGGAATGAGTGTTGAATTTCAGAAGTTCTGACTGTTACCTGCGTGGTGAGATCTAACAGACCATTAGCTGTTTAGATTACTAAAACCTGTTTTTATATTTTCATAACTCAGATATTAAATAGTATTCATAATATAGTGTTTGCAGTACTACTTTCTAAGTAGGCAGCAAGAAGCCAGGCACGATGGTTCACGTCTGTAATTCCAGCACTTTGGGAGGCTGAGGCGGAAGGAACACTTGAGCCCAGAAGTTCAGAGGGTGCAGTGAGCAATGATCGCACCATTGCACTGTAGTCTGGACAACACACTAAGACCCCATCTAAAAAGATAAAAGTAGGCAACAAGACCACCACCACAGTCACTGTCATACATTAGTCCATATCTTCCACAGGTAACAGTGTTTGTGGATAGCGTTGTCTTGAAGATCATACATAGAAGCCAAAGCATGTTTCTTGAATTATAAATAGCTGTTATGGAACTCCAGGTCAATTAAGACAGTCCTGGATTTAAAGCTTTGCTTCAGTTTGGAACAAAAGCAGTTGTGCCTGAAATCCACAATTTTTTTTTTTTTTTTTTTTTTTTTTTTTTTGAGACAGGGTCTCACTCTGTCACCTAGGTTGGAGTGCAGTGGCATGATCTCGGCTCACTGTAACTTCTGTCTCCCAGGTTTAAGCAATTCTCCTGCCTCAGCCTCCCAAGTAGCTGGGATTATAGGCATGAGTCACCAGTGCCTGGCTAGTATTTTTGTAGTATCAGGGTTTCGCCAGATTGGCCAGACTGGTCTCAAACTCCTGGCCTCATGTGATCTGCCCACCTCAGCCTCCTAATGTGCTGAGATTACAGGCATGAGCCACTGTCGTTGGCCTCAAATCCCAAATTGAAATTCCTCTGCTCTCATGCAATAATAAATAGGAATCTCCCAGTGTCTTTTTTTTTTTTGAGATGGAGTCTTGCTCTGTTGCCTAGGCTGGAATGCAGTGGTGCAATCTCAGCTCATTGCAACCTCCATCTCCCGGGTTCAAGTGATTCTTTTGCCTCAATCTCCCAAGTAGCTGGGACTACAGGTGCACTCCACCATGCCCAGCTAATTTTTATATTTTTAGTAGAGATGGGGTTTCACCATATTGGCCAGGCTGGTCTCGAGCTCCTGAGCTCGTGATCAGCCCACCTCAGCCTCCCAAAGTGCTGGGATTATAGGTGTGAGCCAATGCCTGACTCAGTGTCATTGTTTAATGAATGATAGATTACTAGGCATCCTCTGGAAAAAACTCTGTTATATATTTGTGAAAGTAATTATTTTCATTTCTTAACCCTGTCTTTTGATTTTAAACATAGGAGTAAATATATATATGCTTATGGGTTATCATTTGTAAGATTTTTTTGAATATGAGGAAAGTTATACATATATCAATTAAGAGACAAATTACTTCCTAAATGGGTCAGAATTAATCAAACAATGTCTAGCTGTACAACTTCCTGTGTTTTGTTAAGTTGTGAAAATTAGACTCCTGATTCATCTTTATTCAGCATTTCACTATGTATATATTTGTTCCTGATATTCAAATCACTTGCTACTTGAAGTTGGACTTCTAAAGATAATATTGCAATTTAAAAATATTTTTTCCTATGTAAAATTAATAGCGAGACTCCATCTCTACAAAAAAGTAACAATAAAAAATTAGCTGGGTATAGTGGTACATGCCTATAGTCCTGGCTACTTTGGAGGCTGTGGTAGGAGGATCACTTGAGCCTGAGCAGTTGAGGCTGCAATGTGCCATGACCATGCCACTGCACTCTTGAGACACTCTCAAAACAAAAACAAGAACAAAACATCTGTAACGTTGCTACTCAGAAATAGCTGTTAACATTTTACTGTTTTCTTCTGTTGTTTAACTTTTCTTTAATGCATATACAACTGCACTTAATACACTTTGAGTATCGCTTATCTGAAATACTTGGAACCAGAAGCGATTTGGATTTCTTTTTTTTTTTTTAATTTTGGAATATTTGAGTTATACTTATCAGTTAAGCATCCCAAATCTGAAAATCTGAAATCTGAAATGCTCCAGTGAGCATTTCCTTTGAGCACTCAAAAAGTTACTGGTTTTGGAGCCTTTCAGATTTCAGATTTTCAGGTTTGTGATACTCAACCTGTATAGTTTTAGATATTTGCTTCATCAAAGAATATTGAGATAGGTTTTTTTTTTTCTGTAATTAAAGTTACACTCTTGAAACAATAGCCAATAAGAGTACATGGGAATAACTTCCATAAGTTTTTAGTGATTTTTTAAAAATGGCGTTTATTGGAGGCTGAGTGAGAACTGAAGTGTTAACTCTCTTTGGAACTCTTGAATACCCGTTATTACATGTTCAGCACATCTTTGAGGAGTGTGTAAATACAACTGTACCCATCAAGATGCCTGGGTTAAGCTTGGGTAAAAATAACATGACTGTAGTCTGTCTCTCTCTGTCTCTCCTTCTCCTTCTCCCTCTCCGTCTCTCCCCCTCTCTCCCTCTCTCCCTCTCTCTCCCTCTCTCTCTGTCTCACACACACACACACACACATTTGAGGCTTCTTTCTGTCTTTTGCTTAAAATATTTCATAGGCTAGATTTACCTTCTAAACATGATGTCTTTTGTGAAACTCTTCATAAGAGGAAGGGGTATAGAAAATGTCACCGAAAAACTCAGCATTGTGGAGATCCACACCAATAGTTTGTCTTCATGATGTTTTCATGATTTAAATAGCTGGTGATTAATTAAAATGAGTGTTAATATTTGAGTATCTGTAAGCATAAAAATAAAATAGGAAAGCTTGTTTGGTGTACCTCCATCCATGATCACTTGCATTCTCTCTTCCATGAAACATCCCATCTTTCAACTTTTTGCAGAAGAATTTCCTTAACATGTAGTTCAGTTTTTATCATTTATCCCCATTTTTCGTTGTTCTTATTTCATCACTTTCTATGTCTCTCTCTTTTTATATAACTCCTTCTAATTCTGCCTCCTGTGGTGAGGGGCAAAGAAAAAAATAGGAAAACAGTTATCGTTGAATTCTTTGAAACTACAGAAATCAGGATAAACCTGGCCTGGATATCCCTAAGTTCAAAACCATACATTATTTTCCTGTACTCCTTTTAGAATAAAAGAAAACTGTAGGCATTTTAATTCTCAATTTCAATGTGTTCTTTATGACTGTAGTTATTTTAAACTTTTTATTATAGAAATTATCAAACACAGGTGAGGTGCAGTGGCTCACACCTATAATCCCAGCACTTTGCAAGGCTCAGGCAGGAGGATTGCTTGAGCTCAGGAGTTCAAGACCAGCCTGGGCAACATAATGAGACTGTCTCTACCAAAAATAAAACAACTTGCTAGGTGTGGTGGCATGTGCCTGTGGTCCCAGCTACTCAGGCTGAGGGGAGGATCACTTGAGTCCAGGAGGTCAGTGCTGCATTCTAGCCTGGGTGATAGAGCAAGACACTATCTTAAGGGGGAAAAGAAAAGAGAGAAAGAGAGAGTGGGGAAGGAAGAGAGGGAAAGGAAGAATAAAGGAAAGGAAGAGGAGAGGGAAGGGGAAGGGGGAAAGGAAAAGGGAAAAGGAGTCAAACACATACAGAAGTAGACATACTAGCACCAGTTCAGAAAGTAATATTCTGATACCATCCAGCTTCAATAATTACTGATACATGGCTGTTCCTGGTTCATCTCTATCCCTAGCCAGCCCACCATAATTTTGACACAAATTTCAGACATCATATATTTTCACCTATAAATATTTTAGTATGCATCTCTAAAAGATAAAGATTCTTAAAAATAAAACATATATACAATACCATTACCACATCTAAAAATAAGAGTAATACCATAATGTCAGATATCCAGTTAGGGTTTATATGACTGGTTGATAAGTCTGTTAAGTGTCATTTAATCACTAGGTTGCCGCTTTGCCTGCCTCTCTTGTTTCGTTTACATATTTGTGTGTGTGTGTGTGTGTGTGTGTGTGAAAAACAGGGTAATTTGTTTACATATCTTTCAGCCTCCATTTTACTGACAGTATGCCCCATGCCGTAAAGTGATTAGTACATTCCTCTGTTCTTTGTATTTCCTGTCAGTTGGTAGTTAGATGTATAGTTTTTGGGTGTTTGTTTGTTTGTTTGTTTGTTTTTGGTCAGACAGGTTGTTGCTCTGTCACCCAGGCTGGATTTCAGTGACATGATCACGGTGCACTGGACCTCCCTGGCTCAAGCAATCCTCCCACCTCAGCCTCCTGCAAATTGTATAGCTGGACTACACTCAGCTGATATATATATGTATATTTTTGGTAGAGACAGGTTCTTGCTATGTTGCCCAGGCTGGTCTGGAACTCCTGAGCTCAAGCAGACCTCCCACCTCAGCCTCCCAAAGTGCTGGGATTATAGGCCTCAGTGACCCACCATGCCCAACTGAGATACAGTTGTCATATATATATATATGTGTGTGTGTGTGTGTGTGTGTGTGTGTGTGTGTGTGTGTGTGTGTGTGTGACATCAAACTTATAATGAAAGTATAACCCATTTTTATGACTTGACTGCCCCAAATTTAATTTAATTTCTTCAGGGTCACATTTTCCTTCTCTGAAGACAAGCATATCTGATAAACAAATGTATCAGAATACTTTTTTTTTTTTTTTCAGACACGGTCTCACTCTGTTGCCTAGGCTGGAGTGCAGTGGCATAATCATGGCTCACTGCAGCCTCAGCCTTCCAGGCTCAAGCAATCCTCCCATCTCAGCCTTAGGAGTAGCTGGGACAATAGGCATATGCCACCATGCCTTGCTATTTTTATTTTATTTTATTTTACTTTTGTAGAGACGAGGCCTCACTTATTAGAATATTAATAAGGGGAAGGTTAGAGCAGAAAGAGGGCATTGAAAGCAAAATTCATCTGCTTTCTTAGAAATCTATTGTCAACCTATTCATGTAGAGAAAACACCAGGAACATATCTTCTCCTAAGATAATAAATGGATAATATGTATTTGAACTGTAACACCAGGTTCTAGCCTAAGGACTAACTATACATGGTCTCCTTTAAAACTCACAGCAAGGCCAGGCACGGTGGCTCATGCCTGTAATCCCAGCACTTTGGGAGGTTGTAGTGGGTGGATCACGAGGTCAGGAGTTCAAGACCAGCCTGGCCAACATGGTGAAACTCTGTCTCTACTAAAAGTACAAAAATTAGCTGGGCATGGTGGCGCATGCCTGTAATCCCAACTACTCCAGAGGCTGAGGCAGGAGAATTGCTTGAACCGGGACCCAGGACCCGGGAGGCAGAGGTTGCAGTGAGCTGAGATCACGCTGCTGCACTCCAGCCTGGGCTATAGAGTGAGACTCTCAAAAAAAAAAAAAAACCTCACAGCAAATCTGTAAGGTAATTGTTAAAATTGTCCTCATTTTACAGACAGGAAAATGAGAAACAGATGTTAAGTAGTTTAGCCTAGGTCGGGTCACACAGATACTAGGTATTGTATTGGGACAAAAAAATATAATTAGTTTGTGGCATTTTATTGGTATTATTTATATTGTACTTTGGATGATCATATATTCAAAAGTTTGTCTTATAATGGATTTTCTTTAAAATTAGATTGTATTTGGTTTTGATGCATGCATAACTAGAAGACTTATAAAATTAGTTCATGTAATGTTATTTTTAAAAATTTTAGTTAAAAAAACAGTTTCCTGCTATGGCCCTGAAGATTCCTGCCAAGAGAATATTTGGTGATAATTTTGATCCAGGTAAGCAACAACTTCATAGGCCAGCTATGAAGTGATCATTGAAGTTTGAAGAAGTAAATTAATGTATTCATTGTACTGTATAGCAGTGCAGGACTTTAAAAGATCTCATGCTCTATGAAAATAATGCCTCAGGAAGGTAATTACTGTCTACTAGGCGTTGTTATGAGTACTTCATGTGCTTAAATTCGTTCGATCCTCGCAACTTTGTGAGATGGGTATGATTATTGTTACCACTATTTTACAGATAAGGAAACTAAGGCACAGTCAGGTTCATTAATTTGCTCAGGATCATATACAGATAGTAAAGGGCAGATTTGGAATTTAAAGTCAAGTAGTCTGATTTCAGATAAATTTATTTGTCATGGGCTGGTTGCAGTGGCTCTCACCTATAATTGAAACACTTTTGGAGGCTGAGGCAGAAGGATCACTTGAGGCCAGGAGTTTTGAGACCAGCCTGGGCAACATAACAAGACCTCATCTCTACAAAAAAATTAAAAATTAGCTGGATATGGTGGCATGCACCTATAGTCCCAGCTACTCAGGAGGTTGATGCACAAGGATTGCTTGAGGTCAGTAGTTCAAGGTTGCAGTGAGCTGTTATCATGCCACTGCACTCCAGGCTGGGTGACAGAGTGAGATGCTATTAAAAATTTTTTTAAATTGATCCTTCAGGTTAATTTGGGAAACTTCTCTGACTTTAAATCAGCGTCATGAAGAATATTCACTTTTATATTCAGAAACATTAAATGTATACTGTGTACATAGCAACTTGCAGGACTCTGAATGGGATACCAAAAAGATATCCTGTTGCTCACCCTTTGGGAGCCTATTGACACTATTGACACATAGGGTCTCAGTTTCTAGTGCCTATATGACTGAAGCTGCAAGCATGGAGTTTTTCCCTAGAACCCAAGAGATTAATCCAGGTCACAGATAGCTACTTATAGGGAAACAGAAGTCTTCTTATCCACCAGGAATTCTATCAGAAGAGTCACCTATATCTGCCACAGATGAATCCCGAATGGATTACCCTCCTTCCCCAACTAATTTGCTTGTAACCTTGTAACTGGTTAAATTGATAATACCTTACATGTCTTTGTTCTTGGTCACTACTCATGATGAAAGCTCTAAGGTCCCTTATCTTGACTGTGCTTTCTCTCTGCATCCTAACCTTATACCGTTCATTTCCCTCCCAGACCATGTTACTGTGTCCTGTGGAATCTTGCCCACCATTAGCAGACTGCTCTTTATCCTGCATCTTTTTCGTATTTCTTCCACATTCTTGCTTTAATTAAAACATTTTTTTCCCCAGAGGCTGCTTTGCCTGTAGCCCTCTCAACTGGAGGCTTGCTATTATTTACACTTTTTTTTTTTTTTTAAAATAATAAAGATGGGGTTTCACCATGTTGGTCAGGCTGGTCTTGAACTCCCCACCTCTGGTGATCTGCCCGCCTTGGCTCCAAAGTGCTTGGATTACAGGCGTGAGCCACCACGCCCAGCCTATTCTTTACACTTTATGAACCTCAGGATTGAAGAATGTTCTGATTTCCGTGGTTATATACAGATCTTTTTTTCTCTTGGGAGTATATAGCACATTTCATTGTAATTGCTAATCTGTCTTATAGTAGGCTGTAGATTTTCTGAAGGTGGGGACTTACGTCTTTTTTTATTGGTTTATAGTGGCAGTATACTGGTTTTAAAGTAATACTTTAAAACTACTAGACAAATAGTAGATTTTAAAGTATTACTAAATATGTGAACCTATTACTAAAGAGAAGCAATAGAAAACTGAGTTGGCACAACAAAGCTAGATTATATTCTGTGGCTTTTATACTCTTGCTTTGTTTTCAGCAGCAGGACACTTTTTTCCCAGTTTAAATCTTATGGAGGCCAGATATGGTGGCTATGCCTGTAATCCCATCACTTTGGGAGGCCGAGGTGGGCAGATCACTTGAAGCCAGAAGTTTGAGACCAGCCTGGCCAAAATGGCGAAACCCCATCTCTACTAAAAATAGAAAAATTAGCTGGGCATGGTGGTGTGCACCTGTAATCCCAGCTACTCGGGAGGCTGGGGCAGGAGGATCACTTGAACCAGGAGGTGGAGGTTGCAGTAAGCCAAGATTGCACTACTGCACTCCAGCCTGGGCACCAGAAAAAAAAAAAAAAGTGGGGCGTGGTGGCCCATACCTGTAATCCCAGCACTTTGGGAGGCCGAGGTGGGTGGATCACCTGAGGTCAGGAGTTTCAGACCAGCCTAACCAACATGGAGAAACCCCATCTCTACTAAAAATATAAAATTAGCTGGGTGTGGTGGTGCATACTTGTAATCTCAGCTACTCAGGAGGCTGAGGCAGGAGAATCGCTTGAAACTGGGAGGCGAAGGTTGCAGTGAGCCGAGATTGCGCCATTGTGTTCCAGCCTGGGCAACAAGAACAAAACTCTTGTCTTGGGGAAAAAAAAAAAAAAAAAAAAAAAAGCAACGTACAAGAACTCCTTTAATGAAAAATCTGGAATACATCTTGATGTTTGCTTGGGTAACAGGACATATAGAGAAGAGAATGAGAGATAATTGGAGGGTCAGGCCTGGGTGACTGAGAGAATTAACTAATTAGAAATGGCAGAAAAATATTAAGAATCAAACTACTAGTGATAGATAATATGAGACTTGAACTTGAGTTGAAGTTCTGTAGATCCCTTAATTGAATCCTTAAAACAATCATTTCATCAACGGAAGAAGGCAGAGAAGTAAGACTGGCAACATTGCTGCTTTGTTGTTAAAGGCAAGATACCAGGCTGAATGCTCTTTGGTACTTGGTTTTCATGAATTAATTGACACTAAAAACTGATTTTTTTGAAGAACTCTTTGTCCTGCGTATATTATATATGACTTGGCGACAATGAAAAGGATGGTATGTCACAGAGATCTTGGAAAGTCCTGCATTGGGAAAATCAAATTTAAGTCAAATTCAGAAAAACAGATGGATAAGATGCTCATTTGGTTACACTTTGGGGATACAGGCATTCCCATATTTTTCTAATAGATTAAAAAGTGGTACAATCCGTGTTGAGGGGAATTTGGTAATATTTAGGAAAACTGTGAATACATTTTCCACTTTGGCCAAGAAATCACATTTCTAGGAATCTGTCCCCAAAATAAACTGCATGTGACATAATTTACACACAGCACTGTGTAGTGTGACAAATTTTTAATAGAAAATCTGGAAACAATGGAAATATTTTTCCAATGGAGCTAGATATAATGTACCTGTAAAAAGGAACAAAAAAGCTCTTTATGTATTTTGTTGTGGTGTGATCTCCAGAATATGCCATTAAATGGAAAAAAAATCATGGTGTAGCAAATGAGTTTGTATGGTGTGTATTTTTGTGTGGAAAAAGATATGGGGATTCAAAAGGAAATAATGGAAGTTAAATAAAAAACTAATAAAACTAGTGACTTAATTTAAGGATGAGAGAGAGATCAGGAAAGACAAAAGGGGTGGAAGTTAGATGACCTTGAATAAATTTTGTTTATGTCTTTGACTTTGGAACCATGCACACATTTTTAAACACTTTAAAAACAAAAGTAAAAATACAATAACAAAGCAGCCTCTAACAACTGAAAATAAACCGAAGGAAAAAACCTAACTTAATTTAACTTTAAAACATGGGATTTTCTTCATGGGATATATTGCTAAGGATGAAAACAAAAACCCATGGACAAATTTTACACTGCATTCCATAATGTTATTGTTAGTTATATGGAGTTGTTATTCTATAATTACGTTACTATCATGGGAACCAAGATTTTAAGCAGGAGAGGAAAGTGGTACATATAAAATCAAAGATTTCAAGTAAAAATACTCTAATTTTTGACTTAATTTGGAAATATAATATGAAATCATAACTTATTTATTTATTTTTTTGAGATGGAGTTTTGCTTTTGTTGCCAAGTCTAGAGTGCAATGGCGCAATTCCGGCTCACTGCAACCTCTGCCTCCTGGGTTCAAGTGATTCTCCTCCCTCAGCCTCCTGAGTAGCTGGAATTACAGACACGTGCCATCATACCGGGCTAATTTTTGTATTTATAGTAGAGAAGGGATTTCACCATGTTTGCCAGGCTGGTCTCGAACTCCTGACCTCAGGTGATCCACCTGCCTTGGCCTCCCAAAGTGCTGGGATTACAGACGTGAGCCACAGCACCTGGCCTATTATTTTTTTTTTACCTCTGTACAAATATTTTCTAGCATTCTCTTCTGGAAATACCTAAAAGCGATAACAAGTGGTAACCAACACCCCTAACATTTAGATTGCAATCTCTAAATATCATTTTTCTCTCAAAGGAACCAGAGTTCCATGGAGAAGTGGTGATCCCAGATCTGGGGCAGGAAATGTGCAAAATAATCTCAGGACAGCTTGCCTGAAAGCAAGGAAGCTATTTAGGATGACTGCAGTTTTACCAAAAGAACACAAAACACAACAAAAGCCCAGTTGTTGGGGCTTTCATTGAGCAAAGATTAGACAGAGCATGGAGAAAGTAACAGCAGGTTACAGCGCATCGGTTATAAACACTTTTCAATTTACTTTGACTCTTTGGTGGTGGGGGAAACCTCATGAAATGCTGTAGAGGTTACTAGAGTAGATTTATTCCCCAAGTCAATAAATGAAAGAATCAAGGGTTTATCTTGCCTTTGTTGTATGAAATGTAATTTCTTTGTACCAAAGAGATAATGTTGGAAAATAATTCATAGAGGAATCACAATTCATAAATAGAAGAATCCCAGAATAATAGAACTGGAAAATCCTTGTACAACTTCAAAGACCATCAGTGATTTGAAAGACTTTACTGAGACAGAAAGATCCACTTCTAAGATGGCTCACTCTTGTGGATTTTGGTATAAAGCCTCAGTTCCTTGTTAGTGGGCCTCTTCTTAAGGAACTTTGAGTGTTCTTACAACATGGCAGCTGGCTTCCCCAGAACAAGTGATCCAAGAGAGCTAGCAAGGAGGAAGCCTCGTTGCCTTTTACCACTTAGTTTTGGAAGTCACATGCCATCACATCCACCATATTCTGCTCATTAGAAGGTAGTCATTAAGTCCAACCCCCATTCAACATAGGAGTAGAATTAAGTTCTACCTGTTGATTGGAGGGAAATAAAAGAATTTATAGACATTATGAGATAGTGATTTCATGGCTTTACTATTTTTTAAGATATTACCATTTAGAGATACACACTGATTTATTTCCCCACACCAAAAAAAAAAAAAAGAGAATTGCTTTAAAATACGCCAGGGGTGTGGGGGGGGAAGGGTGAAGAATGCAGATAAATGGATAAATGAAACAGGAATAGCAGAATGTTGATAAATTTCAAAGTAGGGTAATAAGGTTCTCATCTTTTGTGTACTTATGAAGTTTTCATAATAAATAGTTAAAAATAAAGTCAGCCGGGCACGGTGGCTCATGCCTGTAATCCCAGCATTTTGGGTGGCTGAGATGGGTAGATAACCCGAGGTCAGGAGTTATAGGCCAGCCTGGCCAACATAGTGAAACCCCATCTCTACTACAATTACAAAAATTAGCCGGGCATGGTGGTGCATGCCTGTAATCCCAGCTACTTGGGAGGCTGAGGCAGGAGAATCACTTGAACCTGGGAGGCAGAGGTTGCGGTGAGCTGAGATCATGCCACTGCACTCTAGCCTGGGCAACAAGAGTGAAACTCCATCTCAACAACAACAAAAAATAAAATAATACCTAAGAAAAACATCCTGAAATTTCCTTTTTAACTTAACTCATGGTTGGCAGCCATTGTGTGGGGTTTTGCTTATCTTTTTGAGTTCTTATGCTGCAGCTTAAGCCTGTCTTTTTTTTTTTTTTAACTTTATTTTAATGGTTGCCCACCTCTATGAGATACATCTTACATACTTGAAGGCTGATTTTAAGAGTGATCTCTGCCAGTACTTCTTGTTAACATTTTATTATGAATTTAAAGACTTTTTAATAGGCTGCACCCAGAGGAAACCATGCTTTTAACTTTAATTATGTATGTATATATATATATATATATATATATATATATATATGTATGTTTTTTGAGTCAGCATCTCACTCTGTTGTCCCTGCTGGAGTGCAGTGGTGAAATCTCAACTCACTGCAACCTCTGCCTCCCAGCTCAGGCAATCCTCCTCAACCTGCCAAGTAACTAGGACTATAGGTGTATGTCACCACAACTAGCTTTTTTTTTTTTTTTTTTTGTCATCCAGCCCAAAATGTCATACAGCTAGCTAATTTTTAAATTTTTTTGTGGAGACAGGGTCTTACTATGTTGTCCCGGCTGGTCTTGAACGCCTGGTTTAGGTGATCTCTCACCTAGGCCTCCCAAAACTGGGATTACAGACATGAGCCACTGCACCCAGACTTTTAAAAATTTCTAATTCACATTTCTTTTGAATTACAAAAGATACATTCATGTAACTTATTCATCGAAGAGATTTTTAAAAATACATATTTCTAACTGTAATTCTTAATATATAGGCCTTATATAAATTCTTGGCACTTATCTTAAACATAGTCTTTCCTGGAATTTTTTCAGATATTTGCAAGCTCAATGTTGATCTAAAAAAGTAAGCTTGGAATTGCCCCTAAATTCTGACTACTACTGAACTGCTTTCTCTTCTTATGTAGGGCTTTACATAGGGATTTTAAAACTGTAGTCAGTAATAAAATGGCAAGTCTAGAAATACTTAGAACAGCATGGGCTATAGCTCACTGAAGAAAGGAAATTCTTCGTATTAGCCTTCAAAAGTAAAATGTACCTTCAGTAAGTATCCACAGAACAATTTAAAGCTGCTCCCATATAGTTATTAGGTTTTCTTTTAATATCCCAAATGTGGTCATTCATTTTAGTTCTTAATATGCTACTAAGTTCAATTCTCGAGAAATAACTCTCTTTTAATTATAGTTTTTAATGTAAACTTCACATGTGCTTTGCCTACCTAGTGACATTATAAATGTCCTTGGAAAGTTTAATAAGATATCTACCTGAAATTCTTCAAGGAATTCATAGACAAACAAGAAGAAGTACCAAGTATATGCATCTGGCTCCAAAAAACCAGACCTGATTTTATATTTGTTTACATTTGTATGCAGCCATACCTTACATTAAAAAATGGAAATAAACCTACATGACTGGAAATAACCCAACATTTTGGTGACCAACACTATACATTACACCTTTATTCAGTAGAAATCAGTTTACTAAACCAAACTCATTAACTAGAATATTTTTATGGGTTTTTATCCAGACATTCGCCATTGGACACAGTTTCTCAAATCACGTGTTCAATTTTTAGAGTATATATCTTAAGAATTGGATGGGTGCAGTGGCTCACATCTGTAATCCCAGGTCTTTGGGAAACCATGGTGGGCAGATAACAAGGTTAGGAGTTTAAAACCAGCCTGGCTAACATGGTGAAACCCTGTCTCTGCTAAAAATACAAAAGTTAGCTGGGCATGGTGGTGCATTCCTGTAATCCCAGCTACTTGGGAAGCTGAAGCAGGAGAATCACTTGAACCCAGGAGGTGCAGGTTGCAGTGAGCCACATTGCACCACTGCACCCCAGCCTGGGTGACAGAGCAAGACTTCATCTCGATAAAAAAAAAAAAAAAGAGTTTAGGATAATGGCTTTTAGACTGCCAACAACTAATAATAATAACAACAATAAAAGTAATGGTAGCTAATGATTATTAGCTATAAATAACATTCTTACCATCTGCCAGACATCCTATTATAAACTTAGATGCGTTATCTCATTTAATTCTATAACAGCATTATGAAGTATGAATATATATATATATATATATTTTTTTTTTTTTAAACAAGAAAAGTCTTGGAAAGGTTCAAGATTAGTAAGCAGGAGAGACAAGTTACTTGAAAAAGGTTTCTAATTCCAATAAAAGGTTGTATTTAAAAGAAAAGAAAGGTTTGTGCTTAATATTTATTTCCAAACTGCTATTGCATGAGCTTCAATTATCGACAAACAAAACACTTTGAACATATGCCTGTAATCCCAGAACTTTGGGAGGCCGACGAGGGTAAATTGCTTGAGCCCAGGAGTTCAAGATCAGGCTGGGCAACATAGTGAGACCCTGTCTCTACAAAAAATACAAAAATTAGCCAAGGATGGTAGGATGTGCTTATGGTCCCAACTACTTGGCAGGCTGAGATAGGAGGGTTGCTTGACCCCAGGAAGCAGAGGTTGCAGGGAGCCTAGATCGCGCCACTGCACTCCAGCCTAAGTGACAGAACAAGACCCTGTCTCAAACAACAACAAAAAAGAAAATACTAGACAATGACTTGTTAAGAAAATGTGCCTGTGCATTTTTTTTTAAGTTTTTTTTTTTTTTTTTTTTAAACAGTGGAAGTTAAACTAGAGTTTTGGTGATATTCAGTTAATAAATTAATCATTATTTCCCAGTTACAAGGGATTTCCAGAAATCCTTATTTTTTTTAATTAGTGTGATTTTCAGTTATCAGTGTTATAGTGTTAATTTTTATTCATTGTCTGGTAGTACATGGGGAGTTGGACAAAGCAATATGCTTCTCCAAGTTTTGTAGTCAGCCTGTTTAGAGTTCACAATAGGCAGTTTTTGAGAACTTGCTTTTTGGAGATAAATTGCTTCATTTTAATTTTAATATATAATTAACATATGTAATATAATTACATGTAATATGTAACATATTCTATAAATACAATGACTCTCATATATAATTTCTAAGTGTATTTCTTGTGTGATAAGTAGCATGAATTTTAAAATAGCCTCTTAATCAAAATTTACTATCTTGTGCTTATCTGTTATATAACTTGATAATTGCATATTCTGACATAAATAATTTTAATAGTTTATATCTCTCTTCCAGATTTTATTAAACAAAGACGAGCAGGACTAAATGAATTCATCCAGAACCTAGTTAGGCATCCAGAACTTTATAACCAGTAAGTAATTTTTGTTATGTTCTAAAGGGACACCGAAACCAAATATAAGAATACTGAATAATTCTTAATATAAATTGTGTTCTATGAAATGTTCCTGTGCTATATTTGTTTGTAAAGTCTTCCTTGAGCATTTTCTTCCTGATACTTTTTCTCCGCTTTTCTCTTCATCTTTTCTTTTTTCCTTTTGTACTTGCATTAGTTTTATAGGTTAAACTTAAAATGCATTTGCATAATAAGTTAAAACATCTTGCTAATTATTTGATATTATATTTTATCTATACTTTTTTTTTTTTTTTTTTGAGACAGAGTTTCACTCTTGTTACCCAGGCTGGAGTGCAATGGCGCGATCTCGGCTCACCGCAACCTCCGCCTCCTGGGTTCAGGCAATTCTCCTGCCTCAGCCTCCTGAGTAGCTGGGATTACAGGCATGCGCCACCATGCCCAGCTAATTTTTTGTATTTTTAGTAGAGATGGGGTTTCACCATGTTGACCAGGATGGTCTCGATCTCTTGACGTCGTGATCCACCCGCCTCAGCCTCCCAAAGTGCTGGGATTACAGGCGTGAGCCACCGCGCCCGGCCTTATCTATACTTTCAAAAAGCATTTAAGTAGCTGCTGGTTGCATTGGGAATATAAAGTTAAGTGTTGTCCCTACCTTCCAGAGGCACGGGCTCCCAGTGTAGTGGGAGAGACAGGCATATACTAATAAACGAGTAATTGAAAGTGGATAATTTTTATGATAGAGGTGCTAGAAGATAACGGAGATGGCACAGCCATCTCTTCTTAAGGAGGTCAAGGAAGGCTTTCTGGAACTTAGAGGATGTGTAATCATTCAAGAAAAAAAGATAGAGAACACATCCCAGGCATAACAGGATACAGAAAGTCTGAACCGTCAGGATATAACATTTCATGGTGACTGGAGCTGAGCAGTTTTTTGGAAAGAAGATGAGGTGAAGGAGTTGGCAGGTGTTGGGCACACATGCCACCACTTCTGCTCCACCTGGGGCATTGTTCTGTTGACCCACATGAGGCCTCCAAACACAGCATTCCAGCAACCATTAAGATGAACGTGCTTTCCCAGCCCTGTGGGTATCTCATGTTGACAGGTTTAAACTTCCTTCTGTAGCCAGTAGCTCCCAGCTAGGAAGAATGGGGGTCATATCAGAAATACCTACAAAAACATTGGTAGATCTCTGGTTTGGTTTGTATTTTCATTTTTGAGTCTGGAGGTTAGTTTATGAGTATTCATTACATTTATTGTGGTTGGTAATTTATGGTATAGTACTTGTATGTATAAAGTATTCTAAGAGGAAATGAAGAGGATAAAATATTTGGAGAGCTTTTCTGCAGCTCACTATCTGTGTAAAATAAAGTTTGCCTGTGGGCAATGGTGTAAACGTGACACACTTTAACAGTCTTTTCAGAACCACAACACTGAGGGACTGTATTTTTGAGTAATTGTTCTAGAAATGATTATTACTATTTCTATGGTTCTTGATAGTTCACAGAAGCCTTCTGCTATTCTAAACAGGCCCTCTGGCCTCCTTTTTAAATTTACCTAATTAAACTTACTAAATTGCTAAAATGCTAACACTGGATCTCCTCTGAAGGTCTTCTGGTCAGAGATAAGTATTTCCCCTGATGCTCCCAGGTAGGGCAAAGGTTAGGCAGGTCATGCAGCCATGGCCACACCAAGATTAGATAGTGCCGTAAGAACAGGTATCCTCTGCCACTTCTTGCAGATGGCAGAAGGGCATGAAATTGGTAGGATCCTTGCACTCAAAACAGTTCCCTTGTCTAGTCTGTTCCTCAGTAAAAAGTCTTTTATTATTTGCCTCTTTGTTTAATTATTTTATAAAACATTATGCCTTTTCCTGGGGACATGTGCTATGCTATCTTCACCTTAGATCCACCCTTCTAACCTCTGATTATTGCTATATACACTGGAGATTACTTTGAATTGGCATATTACTGGCTTGTGTGAAATCTAATTCATGCATTCAAAGTTTGAATTTGTCTTTTCCTTTAATGGAGCTGGCATGGAATAAGTATGCAATAAATGGTATTGGTTATTACTTATTGTATTCTAAATTACTCAGAACTCCTAACACTGTATAATAAATACTAAATATTCATTCTGGATCTTGATGTGCAGTATTATAAAGATGTTATATTTGGCATTAAAATTCAACTAAAAGCAATTGGATTATTTTAAATTGACAGTTTCCAAAACATTATATTGTGAAATACACAGTTCTTAAGTGTACAATTCAGTGGATTTTTCAATATATGTACACTCTGTAACAATCACCATTCCATTCATGATAGAAGATATTTCCAGTGCCTCAAAAATGCCAAGAGTTTTTTAAACGTAATTTTTAATTTTTTTTTTTTTTTTTTTTTTTTTTTGAGATGGAATCTCATCATGTTGCCCAGGCTGGAGTGCAGTGGCGTGATCTTGGCTGACTGCCATTTCCTCCTCCCAGGTTCAAGCAATTCTCCTGCCTCAATCTCCTGAGTAGCTGGGATTACAGGTGCCCACCACCACATGTGGCTAATTTTTTATATCTTTAGTAGAGATGGGGTTTCACTATGTTGGCCAGGCTGGTCTTGAACTTCTAACATTGTGTTCCACCTGCCTCAGCCTCCCAAAGTGCTGGGATTATAGGCGTGAGCCACCGTGCCTGGCCAAACTTAATTTTTTAACTGACGTTTCTTTTAGCAAAATATGACATTTCTTATTTCCTAGATCTCTTCTGTTATTAACAGAACTTTAATTTTCACGCTCTTCATTTAAACATCAAGCTATTCTTAAAATAGTAGAAATTTAAGAGAGCAAGAAGAGAAGCCAGTCAGCAAGTATATCTTGAGTACCTCGTATGTGCCTGTTATTATTGTTAAGGAAATGTGCCTTATTTTTGTTTTTTATTTTTTTGAGAGAGTCTCGCTTTATTGCCCAGGCCAGAGTCCATTGGCACAATCTCAGCTCAGTGCAACCTCTGCTCCCCAGGCTTAAGTGATTCTCTCACCTCAGCCTCCTGAGTAGCTGAGATTACAGTGTGCACCAGCACACCCAGCTAATTTTTGTGTTTTTAGTAGAGACAGGATTTCACCATGTTGACCAGGCTGGTGTTGGAACTCCAGACTTCAGATGATCCACCCGTCTCAGCCTCCCAAAGTGCTGGGATTGCAGCACTTTTCAAGCTAAGCTATTACTTTGTTTTATTTTTATTTTTAAGACAGAGTCTCACTCTGTTACCAGACTGGAGTGCATTGGCGTGATCTCAGCTTACTGCAGCCTCCGCCTCCCGGGCTCAGGCAGTTCTTCTGTTTCAGCCTCCCAAGTAGCTGGGACCACAGGTGCATGCCACCACGCCTGGCTAATTTTTGTACTTTTAGTAGAGACGGGGTTTCCCCATGTTGGCTAGGCTGGTCTCGAACTCCTGACACCAAGTTATCTGCCCACCTGGGATTATAGGTGTGAGCCACTGCACCTGACCAGAAAACCTAATTTTTAAATTAAAATTTTTTTATTAAAAAAATTTTTTAAATTATTTTCAAGGTAAACTAAAATGTTGGTATTTCTTTCAACTCTGGATGGAAAAGGGTTTTCTGAGCATGTTGGCAGTGATGACATTATCACAAAATACAACAATGAAAAATTTGACTAATAAAAACTTTGTGCATGGCGGCTCATGCCTAATAATCCCAGCACTTTAGGAGGCCAAGGCAGGCAGATCACCTGAGCCCAGGAGTTCAAGACCAGCCTGTGCAGCATGGCAAAATCCCTTCCTCCAGAAAAAATGCAGAAAGTCAGCCTGGCATGGTGGCATGTGCTGGTAGTCCCAACTGCTCAGGAGGCTGAGGTAGGAGGATCACCCGAACCCAGGAAATCGAGGCTACAGTGAGCCATGATTATCCCACTACAGTCCAACCTGGGTGACAGAGTGAGACCCATCTCTAAAAGAGCAAAAACAAAACTTTCAAATTCCCAAATCATAAGTAAGTAAAGTTGAAAACCAAAAATACAGAAAAAGCTTTCCATGATAAAGGATGACAGATAAATACATTTAACATAGAGCCCATGCAAATGCTTAAGACACCAAAAATGAAAAAAAAGGACAAAGCACATTGAATGGCTCACAAAAAAATGACGCAGAAATGGGTTATTATCAGAGAAACTGAACATTTAAATGAAATGTATTTAAATAAAATGGAAGCCAAAGTACCTTATTTTAATTTTATTGCAGTATAACATGGAGAAAAGTACCCACATTAGGACTGTATAGCTTGATAAATTATGAGAAGTAAACATAACTGAATTGTATCATTCCCCCAGGCCAAGAAAAAAAAAATTAAAAACACCCCTTTGATCTCTTACACATCCTCTTTCAATCTCTATTTCTTTCTTCTTTCCCAAAGGTAACTACCAGCCTGACTTTTAACAAAATAGATTAGTGTACCCTGTTTTTGAACTTTATATAAATGGAATCATACAGTCTGTGTTCTCTGTCTTGCTTATTTCCCAGCAATGTGAGAGTCATCCATGTTGTCACATGTAGCTATAGTTTGTTTATTTTCATTGCTATATAATGTTCCATTGTATGAGTATACCACAGTTGATTCATTCTACTGTTGACTGGCATTTGAGATACTAATATTTCTATTTTCTGACTATGATAAATAATGTTTCCATTAGCATACCTTTTGGTGTACATGTGCTAACATTTCTGATATATCGTGGAGTAGAACTTGTGGGTTGTAGGATATGTGTATGTTTAACTTTAGTGGATAGTGAAAAATAATTTTTCAAAGTGATTTACCAGTTGTACACTTTATATCAGTGTATGAAATTACATTTCTTATGCTTACCTCATAACACTTAGTATTGTTAGTCTTCCATTTTAGCCATTCTGGTGAGTGGGTATAAAAGGTATCTTATTGTTGCTTTAATTTTGCATTTCACTTATTACTGAAAGTGATACTGAGTACTTTCTCTTTAAAATATGTTTTTTTCACATCAAATTGTCAAAGATGTTAATATAAAATCTAACATTCAATGCTAACTAAGCCTGAGAGCCTTCAGGATGGTCATATACTGCTAGAAGAGTATAAATTGGTACAGCTGCTGTGGAAATTAGTTTTACAAACTGTATTTGTTTTATACTGTAAAAATGGTTTATAATTCAGATGAGTAATTTTATTTTTAAAAATCTGTTCTCAAAGTCTTAGAGTTCTAATACTATGCACAAAGATTATCAACTGCAGCATAATTTATGGTAATGAAAAGTTGGAAGTCATACTCTCAAGTGGAAGAATCATTGAGTAATTTTTAGTACATTCATATGTCATGCATCTATCAAAAGTGATTGTTTACAAATGCTTATGATGTAATTGTAAAGTAAAAACATTAAAGTTTCAATGTAACATAATCTTAAATGTGCAGAGAAAAGACTGAAATAAACTATGCCAAAATGTTCCTAGTGGTTGCTTCTATGTGATAAGATTGAAAATCCCCACCCCTACGTTTTATAAACCTTCTTTATTAAGTTAAAAATTCACCGTTTAAACTACTCTAAAGTGTACAATTCAGTAGTTTGTTTGTTTACTTGTTTGTTGTTTTGTTGTTGTTGTTGTTTGAGACAGAATCTTGTTCTGTCACCCAGGCTGGAGTACAGTGGCTCACTGCAATCGCCACCTCCCGGGTTCTAGAGATTCTCCTGCCTCAGCCTCCTGAGAAGCTGGAACTAGTGCATGCCACTACACCCAGCTAATTTTTGTATTTTTGGTAGAGACAGGGTTTCACTATGTTGGCTAGGCTGGTCCTGAACTCCTGACCTTGTTATCAGCCCGCCTCAGCCTCCCAAAGTGCTGGGATTACAGGCGTGAGCCACCACGTCTGGCCCAGTAGTTTTTAGCATATTCACGATGCTTTAAAACCATCATCACTGGAGGCCGGGCGCGGTGGCTCACGCCTGTAATCCCAGCACTTTGGGAGGCCGAGGCGGGTGGATCACGAGGTCAAGAGATCGAGACCATCCTGGTCAACATGGTGAAACCCCGTCTCTACTAAAAATACAAAAAATTAGCTGGGCATGGTGGCGCGTGCCTGTAGTCCCGGCTACTCGGGAGGCTGAGGCAGGAGAATTGCCTGAACCCAGGAGGCGGAGGTTGCGGTGAGCCGAGATTGCGCCATTGCACTCCAGCCTGGGTAACAAGAGCGAAACTCCGTCTCAAAAAAAAACAACAACAACAACAACAACAAAAAAAAAAAACAAAAGGAATCTGTTATAGAAAGGCTAGAAATATCAAGTCATCCGAGTTCCCCAAGGATGGGAAAAGGAGTGGAGAGAAAGTGTTACTGCACATCTTTATAAGAACTAAAAACCAAAATTTTAAAAACTCCTTAATAATTTAATAAGTAATAAATGATATCTAATTGTTTTAAGTTTCTACTTTTGTTTACTAATGAAGTTGAACAGTTGAACATTTTCCACAACATTTTAAAATGTATTGGTGAATCATCTGTACATATGTCTTGGAGCTTGAGCATTTTTCTGTCCATTTGTATGATTTCTTTACATAGTTAAAATTATCTTTTATTGTACTTTCTGTTAGTATTTTTGGTAATTTATTTGTCTTTTAATTGTGGGATATAAAATAAATTTATGTAATCAAAAAAAAAAAAACCATCATCACTAATTCTGTCACCCCAAATCTAATCTGACATTTTCATCCCCCTAAAAAAAAAAACTGTACCTCTAAATTCTCTCTTCCCCCAACCCTTGACAACCACTGTTCTACTTTCTGTCTGTATGGATTTGCGTATCAAAATGAAATTATACAGTAGGTGACTTTATTTTTTTGCCTTTGTTCACTTAGAGTAATGTTTTTGAGGTTCATTCATGTTATAGCATGTGTTAGTGCTCTCCATTCCTTTTTATGGCTGAATAATAGTCCATTGTGGGGGTAACACCACATTTTGTTTATCCATTCATCTATTGGTGGACATTTGGGATATTTCCACTTTTTGGCTATTATGAATAATGCTGCTATTGAGGAATCATGTGTGAGTTTTTATGTGAACATATGTTTTTATTTCTTTTGGGTCTTTGCCTAGGTTTGGAATTGCTGGGTCATAAGGTAACTCTGTATTTAATTTTTCAAGGAACAGCCAAACTCTTTTCCACAGTGACAGTACTGTTTTACATTTACACTGGCTCAACTCTTTTTATATTTATTTTTTTCCTATTTTGTTTTTTTTACTTTTAGAGACAAGTTCTTTCTTTGTCACCCAGGCTGGAATGCAGTGGTGCAATCTTGGTTCACTGCAGCCTCAGCCTCCTGTGCTCAAGTGATCCTCCTGCCTCAGCCTCCTGAGTAGCTAGGATAACAGGTGCACACCATCATTCCTGAGTTTTTCTATTTTTATTTTTTGTGGAGACAGAGTCTTGCTGTGTTACCCAGGCTGGTTTCTAACTCCTGGCCTCAAGTTATCCTCCCACCTAAGCCTCACAGAGTATTGGGGTTACAGGCATGAGCCAGCACTCCTGGCTAAGGCCTCCTCTTTTTAAAAATAATTTTTCATATTTTGAGTTTCCTATGAAGAATGTATATTATTTGATTAAATAATTAAGAACAAACTGGGGAGAGCGTGCCAGGTATGGAGATTTAATGATTTCCCACACTGGTCAGGAGTTCATGTGTGGCCCATCTCTAATTTTAGTCCATTTTTTTCTCTTCATCCTTGATCTTCATAGCCATTTCTTCATCTCCCCTCTTGATACCCACTTTAATATGTTTGATATATGTCCTTAGATATCTGTGTGTCTTTAGTAAACAGGCTGATGCTTCGTGTCTCTGAGTATTTAATGTATATATAAATGGTGCTATGCTATAGTTTCTTGCTTCTGGCTGCTGACTGGTATTCCCTGTAGGCAGTTACCATAGTTAACTTATTTCCCTGGTGGTAGATGCCTATGTTGCTTCTAATTCACTGTTAACAGAAAATGCTACAATGAGCATCATAGTTACATGCCTTTCGCTGGACCTGCACGTAATTTTTTCTATGGTTTACCCCTGAAATAGGAATTTCTGGGCCCAGGGAAACTGCATACACAGTTTTACCAAGTATTGCCAGATTGCATTTCAGAGAAGTTGCTTCATTCTGCATTGTCACCAATATTTGAGCATGTCTCTTTCCCAATTTTCTTACCAACTTTTGATATTATCTGTTTTTCTAACTTTTGCCAGATAATGGACATAACATGATATCTCATTATCATTTTAACTTATATTTCTCTGATTATTAGTGATTTTATGGCCATCTTCACAAATTTGCTTGCCATTTGGGTTTTCTCTTCCATGAACTGCCTGTTGATAATCTTTGCCCTTTTGTCTTTGGTTTCTCTTTTTAAAAAAAACAATTTGCTTATTACTTTTATAATAATGAATATTAATGGATTCGGTTTTACTTTCTTACTGTAAATGCTAATATAGTTATTTCTATTTCAATTTTCATTTTAAAAGGGACAAAGGCTGTAGAAATGCTGTTGAAGTGATAATAAAGTTAGTTTTTGTTTTTAGTCCAGATGTCAGAGCATTCCTTCAAATGGATAGTCCAAAACACCAGTCGGATCCATCTGAAGATGAGGATGAAAGAAGTTCTCAGAAGGTAGTAAGAGGAATTGTCTTTCTTAATAGAAAAAAATACCATTCCCCAAAGATGAAATTAGTGGCTTTAGGACACCTACTTCAAATGAAGTAATTTCATCCATTATAGAGTTTCTACTATGTAGAACACGTAAAAACAAATATATATACCTCTTACAGATCACTATTCCTTTTTTTTTTTGAGGTGGGGTCTCACTCTGTCACCCAGGCTGGAGTGCAGTGATGCAATCTTGACTCACTGCAACCTCCACCTCCTGGGTTCAAGTGATTCTCTTGCCTCAACTTCCCTAGTAGCTGAGATTACAGGTGCCCACCACCATGCCCAGCTAATTTTTGCATTTTTTAGTAGAGATAGTTTGACTGCGTTGGTCAGGCTGGTCTCAAACTCCTGGCCTCAAATGATCCAACTGTCTTGGCCACCCAGAATGCTGGGGTTACAGGTATGAGCCACCATGCCCAGCCCACAGATCACTATTGTTATAAAATATATAGAATGAGTACTTTTTTTTTTTTTTTTTGGGACGGAGTTTCGCCCTTGTTACCCAGGCTGGAGTGCAATGGCGCGATCTCGGCCCACCGCAACCTCCGCCTCCTGGGTTCAGGCAATTCTCCTGCCTCAGCCTCCCGAGTAGCTGGGATTACAGGCACGCGCCACCATGCCCAGCTAATTTTTTGTGTTTTTAGTAGAGATGGGGTTTCACCATGTTGACCAGGATGGTCTCGATCTCTTGACCTTGTGATCCACCTGCCTCGGCCTCCCAAAGTGCTGGGATTACAGGCGTGAGCCACCGCGCCCGGCCAGAATGAGTACTTTTTATACTAAAAAGTCATACAGTCAATCAGACAAATTTGAAAACAGTAGGTAAAAAGAAAAGTATTATCCCATATTATTGTACCTGCACCTGGAAATGTTTAATTAACATTCTGGTAATTTTCTTTCCAATCTTCTCTAACATATAGGGTTTTTAAATTACCTAATTTTAATTATGCAGTGTAAACAATTTTGTATTCTGTTTTCTTCACTTTACATGTTATCATTATTGCCATACTTGAAACTGTTTTGAATTTTGGCCAATAGAAAAGACCTTCTTGACCACATTACATCCCTCTTCCTCTGCATTGTCAGGATTTTATATATAGTGCAGTCAGTATATGCCAGTTGAATCAACTGACTTTAATTTCTGTGATATAGGTGTGTAATCACTATGTGTTCCTAATAGAGAACAGGGTAGTCTTGTGGGTTTTTTTGAGACTGAGTTTTGCTTTGTCATGCTGGAATCAGTGGCACAGTCTCAGCTCACTGCAACCTCCACCTCCCAGGTTCAAGTGATTCTCCTGCCTCAGCCTCCTGAGTAGCCACTGCAACCTCTGCCTCCCAGGTTCAAGTGATTCTCCTACCTTAGTCTCCCAAGTAGCTGGGAATATAGGCATGCGCCACCACGCCAAGCTAATTTTTATATTTTTAGCAGAGACGGGGTTTCACCATATTGGCCAGGCTGGTCTCAAACTCCGGACCTCATGATCTACCCGCCTTGGCCTGCCAAAGTGCTGGTTTTACAGGTGTGAGCCACCGTGCCTGGCCAGTCTTGTTTTTTAAACTAGATTGTGATAGCAATAAGTAAAATAAGCTTGTTATTATGAAGATGTTTTCAGCATTTACCTTAGAAAGTTATGTGGGAGAGGTAAATTGCAATAATTTAACTCGAAGTATTATGCAGCAATTATAATTGTAAATATTATAAATATATTTTCATAATTCAAACTTTTTTTTTCTTATTTTCCCTGTAGTATTTCAGGACATAATTCAAACTTTTAAATATAACTATTTTTAAATATATACATGAAAATCAGAGATGATGAGTTGAAACACAGTTTTTCTTTATAATGCCTTTTCATTTTGTTATGGTTCTGTTTTTGTTATTTAAAAGATAATATTGTGCATTGGAATATTACTATCCCAGGGCTAAAATCTTCATTTGGAAAAAAGACATTTTATTTGTGTGTAACTACTGAAAAGTAGTAATTTTTCTTCTCTGATGCCCCAAGAGGATTCTCAGTTAAGAGAATAAATGTAATCTTTACATTCTGTGACATGGTTGCTCCTAGTACAATGTAAAAAGCTTAAAAAAAAAAGTGTATAGGTGATCAAAAGAGAAACAACAAACTGGGAAAACATTTTTAATAAGGCATAAGAAGAAATAGCATCTGTGTGAAAAGCTCATACAAATGGGTTTTTGAAAAGAATGATATTTAATAATATAGTTAAAGGAAATGGGACATGAAGGAATACTCAGTAAAAAATATAAAGGAAAATGTTCAACCTTGATGCTATTAGCAAATGAACATCTTAGATTTTTATTGCTCTATCAAATTAACAAAAATATAAAGTAAATAAAATACTGCAGAACTGGTAACAGTAAGGTCAGGTAAAACAAGCACCCTTGGTCATCATTGGTATCATAATTTTATGCGACTCTTGGAAAGCAATTCAGCAATACATATCAAATATAAAAATGTTCACATCAGGAATTGATGCAAATGAAATAATCCACACAGAAAAAAGCAAAAGATGTTTATTTCAGTATGATCTGTTAAAAACACTGTTAGACTCAAACTAAATATTCACCATTTAGTGTTTGTCCATATATATTATACATTTTAAATTATTTTTGAAGATCAGATGTTAAGCTTTGACATATTATTAAGTGAAATCAGTATTTAAAACTTACATATTTACACAGTATGATTTACAATCAGTTTTTAAAAATATGCAAAACCTATATGAAAGTAGTGTAAATATTTCCAAAATTATATATTGGTAAGGTTATGTACTTTAAAAAACATTGTTCCACGCCTGTAATCCCAGCTACTTGGGAGGTTGAGGCAGGAGAATCGCTTGAACCTGGGAGGCAGAGGTTGCAGTGAGCTGAGATCGCACTATTGCACTCCAGCCTGGGCAACAGGGTGAGATTCCATCTCAAAAAAAAAAAAAAAAAAGTCAACTTAATAATATTTAATTCCCATATGTGTTTATTTCCACATTGTGGTAATGTATGAGTTTGCTGCAGGAAGATGTACAATCGTACTGTATAGTATATAATTTTGTACAGTACATTTTTTGACTTTATATTATGCTAGACATATTTCTTACATTACTATGAATTCTACATAACTATTATTAATATTTAAAAGGTGACATAACACCCCAGTTAGGGATAGTCCTCTTTCTACTAACCCATTTCTCCATGGCAGGGCAAACAGACTGACTGCATTTTATCACTCACTGGTGAGGAATCTCTTTGGTCGTAAAGTGCTATCCTAAGAGGCACTGACTTAGGACCAAGTCCGTATCAATGGCATCAAGGGTCTGGCCATCCTTCCGAGCCTTGATTCTGTGTTTCGCATTCCTCTCCTGGAGTCTGCGTCCTGCTGTGCTCCCCCAGTGGAGGATGGATGCAGCCTCCACCTGCAGAGTTGGGCATGGCCCCAAGGGACTGGCCTTGGTCCTGCAGTGAGGACTCCAGGTGACCATGACAGAGCAGAGGTGGAGGCCAGGGCGGAAGTGGGCAGGCACCAGTCTGGAGATGCAAAGTCCCACCTCTGGCCCTGATTAACTGCAAAAGCTGTAGGAGGTACTTCACCCGCAACCTGGTTTCTCCCTCTGTGAAACGAGATGGTCTACACTGCAGATCCAACTTGGGCAATCAGTGACAGAACGTACTGAGAACCTCCAGCCAAGTTCTGATGCAGGGAAGACCCTGGGTGGGTGGGAGCTGGCTGTTATCTTTTTTTCTTTCTTTTTTTTGAGGCGGATTTTCACTCTTGTTGTCCAGGCTGGAGTGCAATGGCGCGATCTCGGCT